CTGAATTTAAAAGAAGATATAAATTCACTTTCTTAGGCTATTCATGGAGATAGATTGAAAATAATCTTTTAACTACTTGGGTTCCATTTTTACTGGGTTGTCATTATTGCTGGACATTTTCAGTGGACAGAGCTAGTAAACATATTTTTTTTAGAAAGAGAAAAATATAGTATTTACTAAATGACCTTATTAATACCAGATATACTGAATGCAGCATATCAAAATACTAGAAAAGATTCTTATCTGTGTGGTTATACTACTTAATTGATACACAGTTAAGTCCATTAATTTTAGTTTGATGATGAATTTTAGAGATGGCTTAATTTTTTTCTCTTTGAGTGAGTTATATTTTTAATTATATGAAGTCTTTACATGATTTTCCCAAATCAAAATAATAAAATGAAGTATATTGGGAGTGTGTGTGATCTTGCCTTTATTTCCATTTCTTCCTTCTTGTTCTGTCCCTATCTTGATAAAAATTTTGTGTTTCTCCTTTTTATTAGTTTTGGTTTATCCTTCCTTTATTTCCTTTTGAATATGTAAGTAGCTGTATTTATATAGTACCTATTCTTTCCTTACTTACCTAAAATAAAATGGTAACAGTCAGTAGGCACTGTCTGTACTCAGCTTTTTTTCTTTATTGAAGTATCTTGGAGAACACTCCATAGCAGTCTGTTGAGATCTATCTGCCTTATGGATCAGACAGTTCACTTGTGTGGCTGTACTTTATAGTTTATTTAATTAACCCCTTATTAATGGACATTTGGGTTATTTACAGTCCTCTGCTGTTATTAGTTTTATAAATGAATAGTCTTGTACATATATCATTTCATATTTTTTTACTAGTACTTTTGGAGGTGGACTTTTTATAAGAGAAACTGATGGGTCAAAGAGTAAAATGCATATGTAATTTTGCTAGATATTGCCAAATTCATCTTCATTGGGGTTGAACAATTTTGTGTTCCCAACTGAAATATATAAGAGGGCCAACTTCTGTAGTCTCACCAACAGGGTATGTTGTAACCTTTTGGAATTTTTGTTAATTTGAAAGGTAAAAAATGAGATATCATGTTGTTTCAATTTGTATTTCTCTTATTATTAGCAAAGTGGAGCATCTTTTTTTATGCTGAGGACCATTTGAATTTCTTTTTCTTGAACTGTATGTTCATTTTTGGTCTATTTTTGTTTGTTGACCTTTGCATCTGTGTTTTAGAAATTTCTTCCATATTGGGGCTATTATTCCTTCATGATCTGTTGTAGTTTCTCTTCTACTATCTTTATTTTGTTTACAGTGTTTTCTTTTTGGGTATAAGTTCTAAGTTATTGTTAATTTTTACTTATATGCAGTCAAATTTATTTTTATGTTGTCATTCTTTCCCCTGTTCATTCCAGATTCTAAGAAATGGTTACTCACTCCCAGGTTATAAAGTAATTTGCTTATATTTTCTTCTGTGGTTTCATATTTTACATTTCGCTCTCATTTGGAGTTTATCTTGGTGTGACATTTGTGGGGTGGATCCTATTTTATGTGTTTCCTAAGTTGTTCTAGCATTATTACTGCATCTTCCTTTTCCTCATTGACTGGGATGGCCTTACATATGCACTTGGGTCACCTATGGACTGTTTATCTATTTCTATGGACTAACACTCCAGTAGCACACAGTTCTAATAATAGTTGCTTTATAATATGTGTTATAAATATTTTTTAAATAAAAATCATACTGACATGATTCCTGTGTTTGGGGGGTGGGGGAAAAGGAAGGGAAGGGGAAAGTCAAGGAACATATAGCAAGGACTCATGGACAAAACCAAAGGGGAAGAGTTGAGGGAGGGAGGAAGGGAGGGAGGGGGCAAGGAAAAGTGGCGGGGGGAGGCAGAGACAAATGTATTTGAAAAAATAAATTAATTAATTAAAAAAATGAAAATTAAATAAAAAACAAAAAACATAACATTTGAAATGGAGCATTTTTAGAGAAACCCCTTGAATAGGCTATTTTTATTAGGCATTACGTTGTACAGACTCAACCAAGATCACCCAGTTATCAGTGGGATGGCAACCCATGTTCTTTTCTTTTAAGTATTATTGTTCTATCACAGTTGTTCCAATTTTCCCCCATTGCTCTCCCCTGCCCTGCCTCCCCGCACCCCCCAACTCCCACATTCAGTCCCCACCCTGTTGTCTCTGTCCCTGGGTCATTTATACTTGTTCTTTAACTAGACTCTTCCCCTTCTTTCCTCCCTTATTCCCCTCACTCCCCGACTGTGGTCCCTGTCAGTTTGTTCCTTGTTTCCATGCCTCTGGTTCTATTTTGCGCAATTGTTTTGTTCATTAGGTTCCTGTTATAGGTGAGATCATACGGTATTTGTCTTTTGCCACCTGGCTTATTTCACTTAGCATAATACTCTCCAGCTCCATCCATTCTCTCACAAAGAGTAGGGGTTCCTTCTTTCTTTCTGCTATGTAGTATTCTGTTGTGTAACTGTATCATAGTTTTTTAATACACTCATTTACTGATGGGCATTTAGGCTGCTTCCAGCACTTGGCTATTGTAAATAATGCTGCTATGAACATTGGGGTGCACAGGTTCTTTTGAATTGGTGTTTCAGGGCTCTTAGGGTAGAATCCCAGCAGTGTAACTGCTGGATCAAAAGGCAGTTACATTTTTAATTTTTTGAGGAAATTCCATACTACTTTTCATAGTGGCTGCACCAGTCTGCACCCCCACCAACAGTGCACTAGGGTTTCCTTTTCTCCACAACCTCGCCAGTACTTGTTTTTTGATTTGTTAATGATGGCCATCCTGACTGGTGTGAAGTGGTCTCTCATTATGGATTTAATTTGCCTCTCTCTGGTGGCTAGTGATATTGAGCATCCTTTCACATGTCTCTGGGCCCTCTGTATGTCCTCCTTGAAGAAGTGTCTGTTCAGGTCCTTTGCCCCTTTTTTAAATTGGATTGTTTGTCTTCTTGGCATTGAGTTGTATGAGTTTTTAATATATTTTGGAGATCAAACCCTTGTTTGAGGTATTGTTGGCAAATATGTTTTCCCATATGGGTGGTCCCTTTTTCATTCTGATGGTGTTTTCTTTAGCCAGACAGAAGTTTTTAAATTTCATGTAGTCCCATTTTTTAATTTTTCCTTTATTTTCCTTGCCTTAGAGGATGTATTGGTGAAAATATTGCTGCGTGGGATATATGAAATTTTACTGCTTACATTTCCCTCTAGGACTTTTATGGTGTCACGGCTTATGTTTAAATCTTTTATCCATTTTGAGTTTATCCTGGTATATGGTATAAATTGGTGGTCTAGTTTCATTTTTTTGCATGTGCCATCCCAGATTTCCCACCACTGTTTGTTGAAGAGGCTATTTTTATGCCATTTTATGCTTCTGCCTCCTCTGTGAAATATTAATTGACCATAGAGACATGGTTTTTTTTCTGTAATATCTATTCTGTTCCATTGATCTGTGTATCTCTTCTTATGCCAGTACCAGATTGATTTGATTACAGAGGGCTTGTAGTATAGTTTGATATCAGGTATTGTGTTCCCTCTTACTTTGTTCTTTCTTAAGATTGCTGAAGCTATTTGGGGTCATTTTGGCTCCATATAAATTTTTGAAAAATTTGTCCTAAATCTGTGAAGTATGTCATCGGTATTTTAAGAGAGATTGCATCGAATCTATAGATTACTTTGGTTAAGGACATTTTAATGATGTTGATTCTGCAATCCTTGAACATGGTGTATGCTTCCATTTATTTGTATCTTCCTTAATTTCTTTCTTCAGTGTTCTGTAGTTTTCTGAGTACAGGTTTTTACCTCCTTGGCTAAATTTATTCTTGGGTACTTTATTTTTCTTGTTGCTATGGTAAATGGGGTATTATTCCTAGTTTCTGGTATTTCATTGTTAGTGTAAAAAATACCTTCGATTTCTGAATATTGACTTTGTATCCCACTATTATGAGAAATTCACTCATTCGGCCAAGTATTTTTTTGGTGGAGCCTATAGGGTTTTCTATGTTGTTTATCATGTTGTCTGCAATGTTCTCAACTAAGACATTGCATGATTTTCTCAGAAAATACAGGTGACTAATCTGGCAAGGACTTAGACTCAGGTTGGATGCTTTCTCTTGCCACAAAATATCTTCTCAGTTTTAAAATAGCATGATTTACTTTATTTATTTTAATTAGAATACATGAATTTTAGAACATTTGGAAAAGAACCCTACTACTGACCTCAAAATATATGGTAATATCTTGGTCAGTTCTTTCCAGAATTTTTTAATGGATAATCGTTTGCCTTTTTATGATCTTGTTAAGCGGAAACAATTTTGAGAGAATAACAATTATATTAAGGTTTTAAGGGCACTGATCAAAGTGCTCTAGGTAATTGCCTTATTTAGTTATCAGAAAACCCATCTAGGGATGCAGTCTTTATTATTTCAGTACTAATGTTGAGGAATGCTTGGCTCTGAGAAGCTAAATCACTTGTCCAACCTCAGATAGATTTTTGCATGATGGAACTTGAATCTGACTCATGTGTTTACTCCAGTGCCTATCTTTTAACTACTATGCTCACTGTGTCCTGGGTATATCATTTTATAGTCTGTTATTAATATTTCAACAGAATGTTCATCCTTGTTTCCTCAATGATCATATTACATTTATTTATAATGTCACCTTTTAACACAATTAAATTGCTTTATACCAGATTGTAAGAAGAGAGAGTTAACATTATTTTTTTTTACTTTTTTCCTTCAGATATTATTTATAAGATGTTGGTATCTGCACAATGTATCTTGAAAATAAAATGGAATAATTATGGAGAGGCCCAGTCAATGTGAGACAGAAAAATACATTAATTTTATAGATATGGTTGCTTTTCATGGTGTTTGCCATGATGTTAGAAACTTTATTTCCCTATGTTGACTGGACATCCTTCCTGCGAGTTTGTTTATAACAAAATTTGCATAACTACTTTGATTTTTTCCTGTCTTTTTAGATTCAAATTGTCCCAAACTCTGAGTTAGAGATGACATACCTGATGAGAGTGATGTGTGGCCAAAGTATAAATAGTTTGGAGCTTTATGTGCACTCACAAGTTTGGAGCTTTATGTGCACTCACAAGTTTGGAGCTTTATGTGCACTCACAAGTAAAATAGATAGACATTTCCTGGATGTCAGCCTGGCTCAACGAACAATGCACAATCCACTATTTATTTACTTCAGCTGTGACATCAACAGGCACAGCGGTAAGAAAGATGAAAACTTTATTGTCATTATGCAATGGGAAGAGAGAGATGAATTGAATTAAATGTATCAGACCAATGCGAAATTACAGTATTAGTGAGTCTTGGAGAGGACAGTGTTTTGCTGGCAGCATTTTTAAGTGCTGTTTTTCAGGCGTCTCTGTGCTAGGGGAGAACAAAATGGGAGACTTTGGATTCACAGGCTGATTTTTAACTTAGCTCTGTTCCAGGTACACATGGAAGAAGAGGCTAAACCAGGGTAATTCCTGCCATCAAGAGGTTTGTAATTAGTGCACTGAACTTGTCTTTTTTACCATGCAGTCTCAATTAGTAAATAAAAGTCTGAGCTCATTCCCCAGCATATTTATTTATAAATCACATACACATGTTACTGTGGACCCATACATCACCTAAGTTTTCTTTCTTAAATTTTAAGAGTGAAAAATTGTGGATGATTTTCCCTGTATGTGCAGTGCAGGATGCATGTAGACTGTTTCAAATATCACTGACTTGTCTGTTACTCTAGAGGCAGAGTGGAAGGCAGTCTATTGTCTTGAGTAGCTTCAGCTGGGACACATTTTATCCCTAAAAAAAGGTAGAAGCTTTTTATCAAGGGACTATTTGAAAGTTAAATTGTTTTCTTCAGAGCTGCTTAAGGAAAACTTAATAATAAAATCTAGATGTGTCTACATTTTAAATTTTTTATATTTTAAATTGGAACATTGAAATATATTTTTGTTGCATTTCCTTTATATTTTAAATTTATGTTTTAAACTGATAATTTGCTTCTATTGCCACCCTCTCCCCTTCTGTAGTTGTTCCATTGTAGTTACATCGCAGGGTTGTATAGACAAAGAATGTGGAACTGCACAGGCAACAGTTCTCATCTGCAGTTGCAGGGCTCTGACAGTTAGCAAACTGTACTTATCAGACATCTAGTCACATTAGGTGACTGGTTAATTACCTTCTGATTCATTATGTTTCACTTCTCACCTAGGAAATAAGGCTAGCTATTTCTGAAATGGGGAATGACTTAGTTAATAAGGACTTGTCATAAAAAGACAATCTTTTATGCCTTATTATACTATATAACTAGCTGATAAGTTTATGATAACATTTGGAAGTGAGTTTTAATTATTATGTTTTCAATAGAATGTTCATTTACTAACTGGACGTAAATATGTTCTGTTAGCTTGCAAATTTGATTTAAAACATCATCATTAATATTTTTAAAGCCTCGTTTCTTATATATATAAATGTCTAAGAAGTATTTGTTGGTAAAATATTATTTTAATGATAGGCTTACTTATTTCTATTTATTAGATTCATGTTTTATTATAAAGAACTAGTAGTAAGAAAGTAAACAAAAAATAAATCTTGACAGTTAATGTCATCAATATATTAAATTTGTTATTAAAGTTGTCTTGATAATTTAATATTTCCATTTCCGCAATTTTTACTCAGTCATCTGTCTGGATGTGTAGTTACCTCTAGCTCAGAGTCTGATTAGATTATCATTAAACTCAAAACCCACAAGAGAACATTATATTAATAATCTGAAAAGTATAAATGAAATGAATTTTTAAAACAAATATTCAGACTACCAAAATTAACACTAGAGGAATTAGAAAAGCAGAGCTATGCAGTAACTAAGGAAAACATTGAAAAATATGAAATAATTAGTGTTATGCAAGTCTTCTGTCCCTGATAGTGTTTTAGGAATGCTTAATTCCAAGGAATAGCTATAAGAAAAAAGGTATTTATAGCAAGAATGTAGGATGATCTCATAGAAAACAATTCCAACAAGTAAGACTGAATTTAATGGGAACCGGGAAGTTGTTAGAAAGCAAATCTCCTTTACCATGTGTTTTAGGGTTTGTGTGGTTCTTTGTCTCTGCTCTTCTCTGAATATAGTATTAGCTTGCTTATCAGATTATAGTTGAAAAATAGTTACTCACCTGATTCTATATGGGTTTATAACCCCAGCACTTAACTATCATCTGATTATCTACAGCTAAATGTCTCTTGGTTCAGAATCGTGAAACACATTCTCATTGGTCACTGAATGGCCAGTGCACTTCCTCTTTCCAAGTGCAGTGTCTGCTCTGGGTTTAATGAGTTGGAGCTGGATAGTCAGGTCACATGATTCCTAGTCTGTCTGTTCATGTGATTCTTAGCCTGAGACCTGAGCATGGTCTACATAGTTAAGTTTATTGACATTTCTGCTATAGCTTTATTAATGGGTCTTTCATATTTTCAGGGAAGAACCATTTCAAACATACCTAAATTGACATGGAGCACAAAAGAGGTAAGAACTTCAAAAGAAAACTCCAGTTTATGAACATAAACATTCTAGTTATGAACTGTGCATCATTACCTACATATTATTATATAAAAAAACTATAAAATCACATTCATTCAAAGAATAATTTATCAAAAGGAAGTAGTATTTAACCTAAGAATGCAAAGATGGTTCAATATTAGGAAACCTATTAACATAATATAAAATGAATATGCTATTGATATGGATCAAAAAGTCAAATAAAAAAGCCATCTGATGCTGAAAAAGCATTTGATAAAATTAAACAATTCTCAATGTGATATTTTAAACACTTGGTCTTTATGCTTTTTGCTATTTCCAGTAACTTGTGGACATTTATTATTTTTATAATCAGACAAGCACCTGGTTTTAAATGCCCCTTAGTGCAGATCACAATTTTTTTGCATTTCAAGTTCCTAAGACATCTAATGATGTCTTAATAAATATTTTAAATGAAATATCCCATTAAAATAGTCTAGTTTTGAGAATTGTTAAGAAAACAGAATAGAGAGAATTTTTTTTTTTGTTTCATGGGAGAACTTGTTTTAGGAGTGTACTTTTTTCTATTTACAGTACAAATGATACGCATTCTTTTGGGGGTGAATTGCTTTTCCTTAGGCGATGCCTTTGAAAATGACTCTCTTTCTCCATCATTTGCTTGTGGTTCTATCAATTCTGACTCCTTTCCTGGTGCTGAGTCAGTGCCCTAAACAGACCACTGTGCATAACTAACTGATGGTTGATACTCCACTAACAGTTCAATTTTAGATTCATCATGCTGGTCCTGGGCCCATTTCTCTCTTCAATCCAAATAACTCAAAGTACCTTGGAACGGCTTTTCTTCTTTGATTCTTCTTATCTTATCTTTCACTTAGCCTACATTTGTAGTGTATTCCAAATGTTTACTTTTAACAACTTTCATGGCCCTGCTGTCAATCTTTATTTCTTGCCTGGACTATTTGTATTCTTCTGGTATTCTTTTTCCTTCCATTTCAGCATATCCTACCAACATTGCAGCCAGATTAATTTTCTATACTGGATTTATCAGTTGCCCACCAGCTTAAAACTTTGTGATGCAGTATCTCTGAATGATATAGGAAATTGGTAGTTTGACATTTGAAGCCATCTCTTTTCTGCCTTCTGTGTATTCTTCCCTCCTCGCCTTCTCCCTGCATCCTGGACTGACTTCTCATGGTGGCCATGGTAGGCTCTTCTGTTGTTTTTACTTGTGTTGTGCCTTCTAACCCCCTTTTTCTCACTCATAAAAAACAGTCTCATTTTTATAATGTGCAGATCAAAAGCAATGTTCATGGAACTTTAGAGTCTCCCCAATATTTGTGATTTTCTTCATCCTCTGAGCCCTCATGGCACTCTATGTTCTTCTAATGACTTACAATCTCTAATTGCTTCACCTGTGCCCACAGAGTCTAAGCTCTTTGTGTATGAAAAGCTAGATTTTATTGTTTCATATTTATTGCAATGCCTAACATAGTCACTTATTCATAGTGGTTCAAATATTGACATTTTGAATCAAATACTGAATTATTTGAAAATAATATATACATGAGCAGTATACAATTTTAATTCATATATATCAATACCATTGATTTGCTCTTTTTGTAAGTCACAATCTCCAAGTATTCCTTGGGAGAGGATTATACAACTGAAAATACAAAACAGCACTAATACAAAATAAGGCTGTGTTGGTCATCTATGTTGTTTTTAAAAAGCAATTTTTTTTTTGCTTTTTGCACATTTGCATTCATATTTGCAGAACAACTAAAATATTAGTGTGAAGAACAATAAAAGTTTTTACTGTAACTGTGAGAGAGAATGTTAATTAAATTGGGGGATAAGGAAAGGTACTGCTTAAGATAGTTTTTTCCCATTTGTGATGACATGACAACTTTATATTCTTATATTGAACTTCTTATACTCTTATATATTTTCTTGCATTGACTTGCCAAGATGTTCTTGCAACAGATTGAATGCTATGATAAATATCTGCTTTTTAGATCTTTGGACAGTGTCATTTTTGAAAGCAAGCTTGAACTCCCCATGAGATCATTGTAAAGATAAATGCCTAAAAGCTTTTCAGAGCCATACCTTGGCTCTAGCAAAATTTAATTTCCCACTGATTATGTTTATATCGATTTTGGAACACATAGCCATGAATATACGCAGCATAGCTACATCATCGACGATTTCCCATTCCTTGGGAGTACATTCCTGTTTTATATACACATGGAAACCACTTATTCTTTCTTATATTTGTACCTGGAGTTAAATTCTCTAGTTTTTAGAATAGACCATGAAAATGTCCTTATAGTTGTTTAAAGGCTGTGTCTTTATAACAAAATGTAGAGTTAAAAACATTTTGATATAAATGGAATGGGCTTCATAAACATTCTGTACTTTATGAGCCATTCAATAACCCTGGTTAGGTTCAAAATACAAAAGGAGGTTTTAAAAGTAG